CATGTATTAAATCATTTTATAAAGTTTCTTGGGAGTTATTCTAAACACTTCAAATTATTAAAGAAGGAACAGTAGGAGTTTCTATACATTCTAGGTAAATGCAGTTTTTTAGAATGGAAATATTTTTAAATCTGAAAATTCAGAGATGAAGAAAAAAGTTATTGAGGAAAAAATGGTTATATAAAGTAAAAATATTTTTTTTCAAATGAATATTGATGAAGTTATTAACATATTAGCATATATTTTAGAGAATGAAGCTAATCTAAGGCTAATGTTGATCTGTTTATTGGAGTAAATGAACTTAGAAAAGTAAATAAAGGGAAATAAATAAATAAGCAAAAATATTCAGAAAAGTTTCAGGTTAAAATGACATTATTTTGTAGTGTTGTACTTCTTTTAATGTACAGTTAAACTAATGTCTTTATAAAACCTACATAATAAGCTATGTATGCAATTGATTATCGGCTGCTTTAAATTACAAAAGTTCATTTGATTGTGAAAGGACTATTTTTAAAAATGAACTTTTTAATACTAGGCATATAAATCTTCAAGCTATGTATGCAATGATTATCGCTTGCTTTAAATTACAAAAGTTCATTTGATTGTGAAAGGAATATTTTTTAAAATAAACTTTTTAATACTGGGCATATAAATCTTCTTTAAGATATGCAAGATTACACTGGTGGGAAAAATTAAAGGAACAATTATATAAACTCATATAACCTGGATGATTTTGAAATTAAGAATGTGGAATTTGTGCAAGATCTTTATTTTGTCATACTCGACATATTATCAAAGTGCATAATTGCCACTTTCCACAAAAAGTTAATTTAACTAAGAATGTAGGGAATGTGATAAAGTAAGGTAGAGAAAAGTTCATCTGTTAGTTGTTCTTTTGAGATAAAACACTAAAAAAAAATTTGTAAGATGTGTTTTCAATCCTGACTGAAATAAAAGCAGTACAATCATTTTCTATGCTCTGCATCAGATTAGCTGTAATCATAGCCAGGTGCGATATCAACATAAAAGGTAATTATGGTCTTTGGTATTGAATTACTAATATTAAAAATTTAAAACGAAATGTTTAGACATCACTGTGTGAGTCATTTCTCAAGTTGTAGTGTGTTCATAGCCATGCAGTTATGAAAGCAAAAAATAATAAATGATGATTTACCAGGATGATATCAGTGCTAAAGTGAAATTAAGAATTGGGAATCTCCACATGTGCAATTTTTAAAGCATAAAAAAAATTCGGAAGAAATAAAGTTGGTGGTGATCTGGGGTTGCAGATTTTAGATCATTCCATATATTGAACGACTTAGATTTTCGACTTTATACTGTGTTTTCCTATACCATTTGATTAAAAAGTAACTTTTTTTTTTTCCATAGGTTTCAGTTGATAGACATGCGCCATATGCTTTGCGCCATATGCACCGTGATACATCCCTGATATATCACGGTGCATGGCTTGGGTGTGGTTTATTCATTACTGTCAAAGGAATAACAGCCTAAATGTTAGTGTTACAAGGAGAAAAGATGAAGTAAAAGTATTAAAAAATTATTGAAAATGTTCAGAGTGACATAGGTCAGAAATGAGTAAATTGCTTTCAGCAGCTTTCATGTGAAAATGGCACCTTTTTAGGTCTTTAATTTCCAATAATAATAAATATAATTTCCAATAATTAAATTAGGACTTTGAAAATTGTAGATGTTTTATGTGTATAATTTTCAAACTATAAGTGATTGAATAGTATTTACAATTATTGATAGTTTAGTGTGGACTTTTTGGCAAAATAGATGGGCTTCATGTGTTTTTTCTTGCATCACTTTAGACTAAAAGTGCACCGTTTCTTAAAGAAAATTCCTTTAAAAATGTTACAAAATCAATTTTCCAAAAAAGGTTCCAGCTCTCTTATGCTTTGCTGTAATAAAATAAGGATATTTTTGCTGTTTTGAAATGCATTGCAAAGTTTCCACTTTTAAATGACACTTTTCTTATTTTCTTTTTCAATTATTTAATTTATTTTTAACTCTGATGCATACCTACTGTACATGGCATAGATTTTGTTTTGAAGAATGGTTATAAATGATATAATGGGGGGCCATAATTAAACTGACAGTGCTCACAGTGTTCTGTAGCGCGATCTATTTGCGAGAATGATGCCACATTTTGTAGGAAGGTTAAATAAGATGGGGGGATGAAGGATTCCGCGAAAAAAAAAATTAGTTCCAAAAGTCACCGCTAGGGGAATATTTGGCACTGTTTAATAGAAAATAGAGTGTTAACAAATGCAAATCAATACGGAAATTACCTTTTATTTTGCATTCAAATGAGGTTCAATGAGGCTGTCGTTGTTGTGGACCACATATTGCATTCTGTGCACAGTAAGCACAACAGCAGAAAGTAACATGTCTGCAGGAATCTCCCGTACAGTCCATGATATGTTATCCTTCAACGTAGCCAGGTCCTGGACTACTCCTTGATAGACCTTGGACTTAAGGTAACCCCATATCCTTTGATTTAAATGATCAAATGGCAGAAGAGCAATGAGCAATATTGCCTAAGCTCTTTTCCTTCTTTTCATAAGAAGGAAGCGCCACTAATGTTATGTTATGTTAAGGTAACCTCATAGCCAGAAGTCGCATGGGGTAAGATCAGGCGACCGAGGGGACCATGCAGTTGGAAAGTAGCGGCTAATGACTTTCTGTTATGAATTTCTGTAGTAGCATCTGTTGCACCCATACAGCAATGTGGGGAGGGCCTCCATCTTGCATGAAAATGATTTCCCCCAGGTATTGTCTTTGCTGAAGTGCCGGAATGACAAAGCTGTTCAACATGTGGCGATATTTCTGTTCGGTAACGGAACAAGTTTCCGGTCCTGTCGGGGTAATGTTCTCATAGAAGAATGGACCTACGATAAATTCCACTGTGAACCCACACCAAACAGTTACCTTTGGTGAATGTAAGGGAATTGCTGTGACTGCATGTGGTGATTTGTCATCCAAAATTCGGCAGTTCTGGGTATTCACAGTTCCATTCAGGTTAAAGTGGGCCTTGTCTCCCCATAAGATTTTCCACGGCCAAGCATCATTCACCTCCATTCTGGCAAGAAAGGTGAGAGCAAAAGTCAGTCGCTTATCATGGTCGGGGTACAGTAACTCCTGTACACGGCTGATCTTGTACAGATAGAAGTTGATAATTTTTCATAAGATTTTCCATACCGTACTGTAAGGCATATCCATATTCCATAAGGCATATTCATAATAAAAGATAATTTTATTCCGTATTAATTTGCATTTGTTAACACTCTATTTTCTATTACACAGCGCCAAATATTCCCCTACCGGTGACTTTTGGAACTAATTTTTTTTTTTTCGCGGAATCCTTCGTCCCCCGTCTTGTTTAATCTTCCTACAAAATGTGGCGTCATTCTCGCAAATAGATTGCGCTACAGAACACTGTGAGCACTGTCAGTTTAATTATGGCCACCCAGTATATCTATATAATAGTTTAGTTAAGAATGAATTGGTGTCTGATGATTAATTTAAGAACAAGCTTCTTGCATAAATGTTCAGTCAATATTATTACAGTACAAAGTTCGAAATTTGGGACTTCGGCGATTCTGGAATTGGGATTTTTCCGGATATTAGGTCATCCGTTTAAATCTAGTAAGATGTTATGTAGAAATTATAAAATTAAAAATATGAAATCGGGATTTATGAAATAATGAAGTATTTATAATCTAATGGGTATCAAAATTTACAAAAAAAAAGCTTAATATTTATTTGTTTACCTTATTAAACATTTCTTTCAACGTAACTTGTTTAAGTTGCTTTGTTTTTTGTTATAATACTTTCTCTGTAATTCTGAAGACAGACATAATCTCTTGTTCAGTAACATTGTTGAAGTCTTGTAACAGCTGTTTTGATAATTCTGACTAACTTGTCAATCGAAATGTTCTCGTTTTCAGTAACTTGTCTTTCACTTTCTTCACTAATGGTAGAGGTATTTTATGGATCTAGAACCATGCTACAAATTTTTCATTCATTAATTAATTGATTGATGATTGAGAAGCATTGTCATCACAATAAAAAACTTCTTTTATGTCATCTTCATTTATTACTGCTTCTTCACATTTCTTTACAAAATCCATTAATTGGAAAATTTCACCTTTCTTTTGAGATATCTGAAAACCTTTAAAATTAGCGGCTATCATCATCAAGTTTTAACTAACCTCCACTATACATATTTGGTTATGCATCACGAGTTTCGCGACTAATGACAAGTTGTTCCGTTAAATTTTATCTTGCTTCTATCGCACAGAGACAGTTCAGCCTGAATTGTATTAGCTTAGTTATTTATTATACTTATGTTTATTTCTTGCAATTGCTTATCAGAGTTCTGAATAAATAAATTCCCGCATATACTTAAGCTTTATTGAGGGCTGGCAAAAGTTGTCATATTTTGATAAACATGCGGTGATGAAAGGAAAGTATAATAAATAATGATTCGCCAGGTTGTCGTCAGATCAACGATGTATCTATGTGGAATGTTTTGGTTTGAGATATGTGTCAAGCAGATACGCAGCAACTGAGCCAAATTACTGATCGTACAAATTGATAAAATGATTCTTTCTTCAATAACAAGGTGTTTTATTTAGTATCGAAGTGAAATTAAGAATCGGAACTCTCCAGATATTTTATTATGCGTAAAGGGGAAATCAAATGCGCATGCGTAAAACCTGCGAGAAAAAAAAGTTGGTGGTTTTGAGGTCCGGATTTTAGATCATTCCGTATAATGGACGTCTGGATTTCGGACTTTGTATTGTATTTATAAATAAAATAGTTGTTTCAGTACATTGGAAAATACTCCATTGGTATTATAACCTAATTCAGGATTTATAGACTGTTATAAAGTCATAAACCTTTTTATCTTTATTAATTGTATGATAGTCTCCCCAAAATTGTTATGGCTATTCTATTTTTATTTCTCTTTTCAGTTTGAAAAATGAATTTCATAAAAAAGAAACTGAAGGGCCATAAGAAGGATGATGAGGAGGAAGAGTATGAAAAGGCCGTGTATGAGCAGTCTCTTCATCCTGAAAACCAAGATCAAAAAATGAAAAATACCGAGGAATGGCAATTTTTTCAACAATTATCCATGAAGGTTCAAGATACTGTCCAGAAAACTCAAACCACATTAAATAAATTGAAGGATATAAGGCAAGATGGGGTAGAGGAAGATGAAAAAGATTCTTATGATATAGATGGTGGACTTACTAAGGATCCAGCTCCATATGGTAGAGTACTGAGAGCTCCTCCTAGACCACCTCCACCTTTTGGTGACAAAACAGCACCAGTTGATTTGGACTTTGGATCAGACTTTTCGCAAAGCTCTCCTTCCAAAGGTCCTCCAAGGCCCCCACCCCCAGGATCTTCAGAATCCTCTTTTGTGGATTCAAGTGCCTTGCATGGAACTCCCAGTAAAAGCTTTGGATCACCTGCTAGACCTCCACCTCCAAATGTGGGAAAGTCAGAGCCTGCATCTGAAAATTTTGCTGTTTCTGATTCAGTAGCTTCTGGTGTGCATCACACTGAGAAAGATGTATCTTTTTCATTATTAGATGAATTTGGTTTTCAGAGTGATACTGTAGCATCATCTGCTAATACCAATATGCAGGATTTGCTGTTCCTTGATGATAAGGAAGAAGTAGATCCTTTTGATACATCTTTTGTTGATGTTGATAATATATCATCAACAATTTCAACTTCAGAAAAGCAGGATGGTGGAACTAAGAACAAAGCTTCTGAAAATAGCTTTAATCCATTTAGTAGTTCAACAGTATCTGAAACTTGGGTGGAAAATTCTGCAGATAATTCTGATGCAAACAAGAAGAGTTCAACAAATCCGTTTTTTTCTGGCCTGTTAAGTGATAAACTTGATACAGAGCAAAAAAATTCTGCTACTTCTCACAATCCTTTCAGTTTTGGTGATCCAGTTTCTTCAAGTAATGCTCAAAGTGACTTGTTTGGATTGAATTTAATTCCATCACCAAGTAACAATAATATTCCAGAAGATGCATTCCAAACTGCGGAAACATCAGTTCCTGAAAATGTGTTTCAGAAAACAGAAACATCAAAGTCTTCTGTAGAAGAAAATAAAAACAGCTCTGTTCGTAACATTTATAGTACAGAGGAAACATTCAAAGGAGTAGATAATTCAGAAAATGAAATTATTCTTGCTCAAGATATTCTTTCTAGTACATTTTCTCAAAAAAATATCACAGATCATGTATGGCATGCTGATAAAGATGATGTAAATATGCTTGCTTCTGAAATTGTTTTGAATCCTGAAATTGCTTGTACAGCAGAAAAAGACTCAAATGTTTCTTCATTATGGGATTCAGCTTCCTTGGAAACTAATATATTAGTGCCCGAAAAACTTGATGTTAAACTTGAATCAACACTAGCTACCAATGAGGAGGAAAAGTCTGCAGGGGAGATAGACTTCTTTGACAATTCTGATGTGCCATCACTTGAACAAACTTCCACCACTGATGTAGCTTTTTCTGTAGAGACTAAATTTGATAATTCTGTTTTACAGCCAACTTCATCAAGTAATATTGTTTCTAACTTATCTTCTCCCAAAGATGAAAAAGTCAATGCTTTGAGTTCAGATGCATTTGATTCATCTCCTACATTAAAAGAAGATTCAAATCAGCTAAATTCTGAGGCTTCTAATGGTTTTGATTTTAAATTGACTGAAGGTAAAGAAAGTGAACTCAAAGAAAGAATAGATACTGCAGCAGCCTTTGGTGCTGAACAGTTTTCTAAGCCATTTGAAGAAGAAAATGAACAAAATGCCTTCGTATTTAAAATTAAGTCTGGAAATGGAAAAGCAGATCTTGAGTTTGATGCTTTTGCTGCAAAATTTGAAAGTGCGAAAGAAGTGCAAGAAAATGATGCCTTTGATCCATTTATGAGTAAGAAAGCACCAACTTTAAAAAAGATTCAAGATGAAGGTAAAGGATTTGATAGTATGGATGAGTTTGATCCCTTTAGAGTAACAAAAGTAGAAGAAACTTCTCATGCATTGAAGAAGGAGCCTTCTCGGGATTCATTTGAGGATTATGACAATGAGGTTGATTTTTCTGTTATTATAAAACCTAAAGTAAAAGATAGCAGTGATGTTAAATTGTTTACAATGGAACCTCCAAAATTATTGCCTCCTCCTAAAACTCCTACAAAAGCATTTGAGACAGGTGTATCACGTTTTAATCCCTTCGATAAAGATTTTTTGGATAGTGGGGAAACAACAAGAACAATTGATAAAGCACATGAATGTGTAGATGTCGAAGATGAGCCTGTACCTGCTCTTGGAGAAGCTGGAGTCCGGAAAGCAGATTCAATAGAAACACCTCTCTCACCCTTATTTGATGAGGATACTTCACAGCCCCTCGAAGTGTTTCCAAAACCTTTTGACCGTGACGGTTGGGATATGGTCTTGAGACAACCTAATAAAAAGAAATTAACTGGCAACCGATTTTGGAAAAAGATATTTGTAAAGCTTTCTGAAAATAGTGTTTTGCAACTTTTCAATAAAAGTGATGACAAACTGCCATTTCAAGAGTTACCTCTGCAAGTAAGTATTTCTGAATTTTTCTTTGCTTCTTGCATTGAAAGGAAGTAAATGCTTATCTGTTTAGACAACTGTTTTATCATCATATTGATTTATAGACATTTCTAAATTTTTACTGTATAGATTCTGTATCATTAGTGAGGAAATTTTTTTTTATTGTTTGTTATAAAAAATAAAAATTGTTATAAAAGCATTTAATGCTAAAAATATCAGGAATGAAAGAATTAGAGAAAAAGCAAAAATGTTTTGGTATCATATTTTGCCACGCCAAACATGTTCTTAAATTTGAAACATGTTTGTACTCTTTCTATGCTTTCTTTAAAAAATTAGTGGGTTAATAATAGAATGCTTGACGTAGAAAAGGGAGAAAAAATAATTTTATCTTTAGATGATTTTATAAGGGAGGAGAAGAAAGAAATGCAGCTAATGTTAGTAAATGGGACATGTTAGCATTATAATATGTTGGCTCAGTGAAGCAAGCAATTAATTATTCAAAATCAGGTGAGTGCTCCAACTTATATATACTAATAAATTGCACAATTCTTTTTCTTTTTCACCATTTACATACCGTAACCTCTCCAAGTATACAACACCTATAAAACATCTATAGTCTATCCCATTAGAGTCAAATAATTGGGCGAAAATAGTTGATAGACATCAGTATTCAATCTATCTATCTATCTTATCTATCTCTCTCTATATATATGAGTGATAATAACTTGGAGAGACTGCTGCATAATTAGATAGATGACATTCGAAGGAGCAACTTGCGACCGATGTAGGCGAATTAACATAATCTTTATTGCTGGACACGAACTAATTATTTAAAAACATATTTTTCATTACACATGATCATGGGTGTAACATCCAGGCCATAATTTTATGTAGAGCATCAAATTTTTAGTAAGGGTATAGTTATCAGTACAAAGCATACATGAAATGAAATTATGCCCAAGCGGCAAGAGAGCTGTAAACCAACTGCACATTTATCCAGTGTGGCAGTCTGTTAAGAGAAAGGTTGGTTTTGGTTTGCATGAGAAGGGTTTCAATTTTTAGAGTTATGATACCTGCATTATGCAGACCATGCAAGTGGAATGATCTTACGATTTTTAGAATAGAGAGGGAGAATTAAAGGGTTACTGTTAGTTTAAATTATAATTTATATTACATGTTTTATCTTGTGTATCCCCCCTTCAAAGAGAAAAAGGCTTGGTGACAGAAAAGCCTTTTGAGAAGAAAGCGTTTGTGTGTTAGCGAAGCAAGAGAAAATTTTGACAAGTTTTATAGAGTTTAAGTCATGTGTAGGCATCAAGGACATAACCTGTACGTTTCACTATGCCCCTTCATTATTCCTGAGTTCTCTCACATGCGAGTTAGAAAATACATAAAAATCTAATTTAAAAATATTACAACAAAATATAATTTCTAAATAAATGTAAATGACAATAAATTGACAAAAACATAATTCTGAAAGTTCTTATGCTCTGTCTTCAAAATAGCAGAAAAATGCCTAATGAAATGTTTTGATGAAATAGTTCCACAGTCCTTGACACAGCAATGAAATAGTTCCAAGAGTTCTTGATTTGTAATGAAATCTTGAAACTATAATACAGACAGTTTGTGAGTTATTGAATAAATTCTTCTGATTGCAAATGTAATGCAGTAACATGACAACATAATAAAATAACTTTGATTAGTTGGAATGACCTCTGCAAACAAAATCAGCATACCAACTTGCTGATGGTTGGTGGATGCTTAAGTTCAATAAATCAAAAGAGAAAAAAAAAAAAATATGCAAAATTAAGATTAACGTTTAAGAAAAATAACTCATATATTCAAGTGAAGTCTTTTAAATTTTGCACAATAGAATTAGACATTATCCTGTAATAAGGAAAATAAATTTTTTTAAATTGTGTAAAATATATGTGTATGTGTGTGGTAGCACTGTTTCGCTTAACTATTATCAGAGGATGTGATTGATAAAACAAATATAAAATCCAAGTCAGTATCATAGCCATAGCTGAATCTCCTAAGAAAATAGAAATAAAATTTTGGGGGTGTTAAGAGTGTTCCCTGGGTAACACTCTTAGCGTGGGTGTGTGCTGTCACTGCTTGTATCCTCCCTAAAGAGAGGACGTAAGGAGTAATACACATAATGTAAAAACTCAGGTCAGATATTAAAAAAAAGTGTCATCTTTGAATGAGATTCTGGTATTAAATCCAGATTTTCAAAATGTGATGGTAGATCTTTCCCTTTCCTCATCTCCGGGCTATGGGGGACGTACACAACAAATTTTGAATGGAAAAACTAGGGAAGAAGTGAAAGCAAGATCGGGAAAGGTCAAAATTAGGAAAATAAATTTTCATAATTAGGTTTTAAAGTCTTCAGCAGGTTAAAAAAAGTCATAATCGGGTAAAGAAGTTTCGGTGCGTAACTTGGGAAAACTAAAATTTATATTCTGCCTGACTTTGGTATTTTACTCATCATCTGTTGCGAGGGTGGGGGGAGGGAAAGCGTAAACAGAGGTGGGCTCTTTAAATCATGGCGTGCTAATATAAACATTTGCGTATTTCATTTATATCCAATTTCTTTTTTTATTCTATTTTTTCCTTTACTGTATACGGCTTTTAGGGTTAGTATGTGGAGTACGGTTACGTTTTGCATTGCCCTTCAGATATATTTCCATTTCTGCTCTTTTTATTTCGGAAAGCCTCACCTCCAGTCTATTATAGGGGAAAGGCACTATTTTTTAGAGGAAGAATACCCTCATATGGTCAATGAACTATTTATTAATGCAGATGAGAGTGATTATTCATTTTCTAAAGAGTTAGAAAGTGATACTTCTCCGTGCTTCGAGATTTACCACACTCAGTATTCATTTTAAATTTTGTTACTTCTTACTGTAAATAGTCTTTATTGTGTTGTTTTATTAATTTTAAATTTTATTGATGGATTTTATCAATTAAAACTTTGGAATAATTTGAATAGCGCTTCTGTAAGTTATTTTACAAGATAAGCAATTTTTTAAGTATATTTTCATGTAAAATAAAGAAAAAAACGTTATTAAGTACTAATTTTAACATATATAAGAGCTCAAGTAATAATCTAAAATAACAAAAATTACGATGCTAGAAATTAAACTTTTTTTTTCCTGATTGTTTTTATAAAATTAGGCTTAGCAATGCAAAGCCTCCGTCCTGTACGGAGACTGCCTTTGATTCCCTTCCATCCCGCCTGATCGTCTTGTACAAAGGTGCACCAGTGCGAAAGGGTTAAGAGAAAGGTTGGTTTTAGTTTACATTAGAAAAGTTTCGGTTCTCAGAGTTGATCAGAAGTCTCAGTCATCAGTATTGGACAGGCCATGGAAGATGGAATGATCTAGAAATGATGCAATCCAGAGAAGTTATTATGATATTTAGAACAGAGAGGGAGAATTAAAGGGTTACCTTTAGTTTCAATTATAATTTTGATTTACAAATTTTTTATCTTTACACATGTATGGTTTTCAGTGGAAGGCAGATTTTAATTCAGTCTGATGTATCTTCCCGTTGATAATGTTACGTCAAATTTAGTTATCTTTATTTATTTTTCTGGTTTTGGTATATATTTTCAGGTTTTAGTTTCAAATTTCTTGAATTCTTATTATTGTATATTTATAGGATATTTTGAAATTAATTGGCATTAAATTTCACTTTTTTGGGTCTCTGTGTAAAATAGGTTCTAAATTTTTTACTTTTTGTCTTTACTTATGTATATATATATGTGATATTTTCCAGCAGTCATGAGAAAGCTTGGCATCAAAGTTCAGGCATTGCTTTTGCAGAGTGGTAAGGCGAAATTCAAATGATGAGACAAGATGATTTAGCTTTTAATTGCACATTTTTATTTAATCCAATTAGCAGATAATTTTCTTTTTAGATGAAACTCTCTAAATTACATATCCATAGTGATTTTAACTAAGTATGATTGAATTTAAACTTTTTGCGTCATCAGTATTTCTAACAAAGGAAAGAAAGATGGACAGAGCAGCACAGAGTCTTGTAGCAGTGATATTAGCGAGCTGTCTGACTAAAAAATGACACGTTCTCAGTATTTATAGTAGCGGTTACATAATAGGCTAGCGTATTCTAGAAGGTACTGGTCTAGGGGTAAGGTCCTAAATTGCGGAAAGTTAATTGGAGGTTGCGTGTTCGCATAGAGCATAAGCCATCGTATTTTTTTTATATTTTACATATATATGTAACAAAATACAATGGCTGCTTTAAGAATAATTGGCGACCTCAAATTTAACTGTTCCTAAGCTTAAGTTTTGTTAATAAATAACTAAACTAATTCAATTCAGGCTTTGTCTCAGTACACGATAGAAGCAAGATAAAATTTAACGTAACAACTTGTCGTTAGCCGCCAAGTTCATGATGCATAGCCAAATAATGTATAGTGAAGGATGGCTAAATTTGAGGATTGTGGCCGCTAATTTTAAAGGTCTTCGGATATTGCGAAACAAAGGTGAAATTTTCCAATTAACGGATTTTGTAAAGAAATGTGGAGAAGTGGTAACAAATGAAAATGATATAAAAGAAGTTTTTCATTGTGATGACAGTGCTTCTCAGTCATTAATCAATTAATGAATGGCAAAGTCTGTAGTATGGTTTTAGATCCAGAAAAGAGTGACAGAGAACATTTCAATTGACAAGTTAGTCGGAATTCTTGAAGCAGCAGTTTCAGAACTTCAACAATGTAACTAAACAAGAGATTATGTATGTCTACAGAATTACAGAGAAAGTATTAGCACAAAAAACGAAGCAACTTACATTGGAAGAAATGTTTAATAAGGTAAACAAATAAATATTAAGCTTTTTTATGTAAATTTTGATATCCTTTAGATCATAAATACTTCATTAGTTCATAAATCAAGATTTCATATTTTTAATTTTAAAATTTCTACATGACATCTTAGTAGATTTAAACTGATAACCTCATATCCGGAAAAATCCGGAATCGCCGAAGTTCCGACGAGTCGAGATTTCGGACTTTGTACTGTATATGAAAATTATCACATCTCATTATGATTGGATATGTCTACTAAGATGGTTCTATCTGCATGAAAACAAAGATTAGGACTTCTTCGAAATTTTTGTCAGCGTCATCTTTTCATCTGTCCACTCGGCCATCTGAGACTGCAAGCTGTTAAAGTGTCCGGATTCCTCCTATGCGTTAACACTTTCATGACAGCACAGCACTGTTTAAGACGCTCATGCGGGACGGAAGGGAATCAAAGGCAATCACCATACAAGACGGAGGTTTTGCATCTGTAAGCCTAATTTTATAAATATATATATATATATATATATATCAGGAAAAAAAAGTTATATTTACTTCAAGCATCATAATTTTTGGTATCATTTAGATTATTACTTGAGCTCTTATATATGTTAAATTAGCATTGATAACATTTTTTTTTTCTTTATTCTATATGAAAAATACTTAAAAAATTGCTTATCTTGTAAAAATTTTCAGAAGCACTATTCAAATTATTCCAATGTTTTAATTGATAAAATTCATCAATAAAGTTTAAAATTAATAAAACAACACTATAAAGACTATTTACAGTAAGAAGTAACAAAATTTAAAATGAAGACTGTGGTAAATCTCGAAGTACAGAGAAGTATCACTTTCTAACTCTTAGAAAAAGTGTCACTTTCTAACTCTTTAAAAAATGAATCGTCACTCTCATCTGTCTTAGTAAATGGTTCATTAACCATTCGAGGGTATTCTTCCTCTGATAAGTAGCGCCTTCCTGCTATAATAGACCGAGGTGAGGCTTTCTGAAATAAAAAACAGAAGAAATGGAAATATATCTGAAGGCTATGCAAAACGTAACAGAACTCCACATAATAACCCTAAAAGACCATACATAGTAGAGGGGAAAAATAGAATAAAAAAAGGAATTGGATATAAATCAAACATGCAAATGTAGCATGTGGCGATTTAAAGGGCTTACCTCTGCTTATGCTTCCTCCCCCCCCACAGCAGTTGATGAGTAAAATACCTAAGTCAGGCAGAATATATCAAACTCAAGGTTAGGAATCTAAAACTGTGTTCACGTCAAAAATAATGGACATAGGATGCCATCTAGTGGTCTTCAGAAAACGTTCCAGCTTAAAATGCATATACGCATCACCCGTCCTCTGAATGCAATCTCTAAGTGATGCGTGGATGGGACGCCTGTCCTGAAGGGGTTAAATTATGTTATATACACTCAAAAGTCTTTAATCCGGACGTCCATAATCCGAAATGATCTATAATCCGGACCTCAAAGCTACAAACTTTCTGCGCATGCACGTAATACATTTACGCATGCGCATAATACGTTACGCATGCGCTTTTAATATATAACGGACGGTATAAGCTAAGCTAAAATTATTTAATAATCTATTTCAGTTTATGTTACAGATTGCGTTGTTTCTTAATCTTCTAATTTGATCCGGTTTATTATTTTTTGCAGACTGTTAGAGCAATTTTATAAAAGTAAGCTTGAATTTTCGATTATGTCAAAAAGAATTTCCGATTTTGGAGCTGCCAAAGGATCTACAAAGCGAAAGCATGTTTCGATGTCCATCAAACAAAAAGTGGAATTGCTGCAAAAAATGGATAAAGGCATATCCTTTGTTTCTCTAAACATTCCGAAATCTGTTTATCAATTTCATGCTGCTCTGCAGGGGGGGGGACGTCACGGCGTGCAATGAACTGGAAGTTGATCTGTCAGCACTATCCTTATCTTCAGGGCAGATGTTTTTATTTTATTCGGCTTATAATTCCTTACTAAATGTAGTATTTCATCTTGATGTATTCCATCTTTGATATGATTTAAATCAAATTCCTATTAATATAAATATCACGAATACACATCAAATAGTTTTCTAGTTGCAATTTTCTAATTTCGGCTATGCGTAATGTATGCTTTATGAATGCGCGCGTTGAAAGAAATGTTTAATAAAGTAAACAAATAAATATTAATCTTTTTTTGTAAATTTTAAACCCTTTAGATCATAATTGCTCTTTATTTCATAAATTACGGTTTCATATTTTTAATTTATAATTCTGCATGCCATCTTACCAGATTTAAACTGATGATCTGTAATCTGGAATCGCCTAAGTCCCGATGATAGTCCGGATTATTTGACTGTATATATATATATATATATAATAAAAAAAAAATTAAGTGCTAGTCTAGGAACAAAGAGACATTGAAATATAGAAATACTGATTGCGCAGATACTTGATAGCCTAGAATGTAGATCCAAATTGCTGAGGAAGAATTTTGACTGTGTAGAATGCTGATCCATAATGAATTGGAAACTTGGCATTCAAAACAGATTAAATTCCATTTTTACTTAAATCCACATTTGTGGCCACAGTTTTTTTGGCATTTCAATCATGCCTATTCAAGAACATGTACATTTTTAAATACTGTTGCAATAGGAAGAAATGCGGCACGGCAGGATCTCAGCAGCAAGAGATCTAGAAGCAAAATCTACACTTATCCAGTACGCAGTCTGTTAAGAGAAAGGTTTGGGTTTAGGTTAGGAAAGTTTGAATTCTCAAAATTGAGAGTTTAGGCTCCAGATTAGTTGCGTCATTAGCATTATGCTATCCATGCAAGATGGATTGATCTAGAAGTAGTGCAATCCAGAGAAGTTATTATGATTTTTAGAATAGAGAGTAAGCACTACCGTTAGAGAGGATTACCACTAGTTTAAATTATAATTTTTATTTACACATTCTTTGCCTTCCATATTCTCCCAAAGAGAAAAAAGGATTGGCGACAGAAAAGCCTTTTTAGAGGAAAGCATTAGTGAAACATGGGAAAAACAATTGTGGAGGAAGAATCATAGAATTTTTATCTAAATTTTTTAAAGTAAAAAAATCTTATAAATATCATTTTTAACAATGAATGCAAACTGAAAATTTTGTTGAAATTTTGAAAGCCTGCAAGTTCATTTTTCTGAAAAATTACTGTAAGGAGTGTCCTAATTTTGTCAAGAAATACCTGTAAAAGTTCACAGTTTTTAAAATCTCTGCTTGAATATCATAATCATAATATTTAGCAATCTGTAGCTTGAAAGTCTTTCATAAAAATTGTTGTGAATATAAAGCCAAAATTGTCTTTTATATTCATGAAATTTGTATTAAAATGAATTATTTTACACTTAATAGAACTTTCCACATTTTCTTAATTGTAAAGCAACATAAAATGGAATTCAAAAGTTAATAAACATAGTAACAAAATTCATTACAACAATAAAATAAACTTTGATAAAAATGGGCAATTCCTCTACAATACAAGTTAGCGTTACAACTTGCTGATGGCTGTGGGATGCTTAAGTACAACAGAACCTAAAAACCTCAGTTCTTTAAAAGAGGTGACTGGCTTCTAGTATTGTATAATTATCAAAGTTTGAATTTATAACTTATGGCCATAAAAAAATCCTTAAAAGTAGTTAACGGAAGTAAAAAAATATATAAAAATTAGATACATAAAATTCTACATGCCTTACATATGGACTGCCTTATAATATGAACCTTATAACTTTGTGAATATAAAATAAGAAAATAAACAAATTTCATAATTTTACCTGTTTAGGGAAAGTTTTTAAATCTTTTCAAACATAATTTTTAAATTCATCTCTTAATTATGTTACAAAAATCACAAGAAATTTCAAAATATTATAATGTAATTAATTTTTCATTCGAAACATGATTTAAAATAATATTACTAAAATAATGCTTTATATTATTATTGACATTTCTAATTTACTTACTTCGTACAAACTGGAAAGACCCCACAGCTTTCTTTTAATACAAACATTTTGATCTGTTGAGCAAATCCACATTACAATTAGTGTATGCTTTCACTACTGGTTAAGGTGTGCTCTGCAGTATTATAAAGACATCCATTCCTGTTTAATCTGTTTTTGAACTGTCTATCACATCCATTAAAAAAAAAAAAAAAAAAAACTCTCCATTTATAAAAAAAATAAAAATAATAATATCCAAAAAAGGAAAAGTGAGCTTCAATTATCTGACATTTAATATCTGTAATTTTAAATTTGTTTATGTAATGCTATACTAATGATAATTATTCAGATTTTTTAATTACCATATTTTTATACATTGTTACACTATTCTGTATCAACATAATATTTACTATAAGACTATTACTCAGGAGCACTATTTTTTATGATATTCTATACCAACTTTCCAAAATTATTTTATGTACTTTAAAAATTCTGAACAACTCAAAATTTTCAAAAATATAATTATTTACTTTAATATCCTTCTCTGAAAATAGTTAAAAATATCTTGAAAATTCATTACTTTATTTTATCACACCTAAGTATGAAAAGTTAAAAGTTTTTGATGCCATAAAATTTTAATTCTGTTTTTTCATCAAACAGTGCTACAGTTTTTTAAATAATCCAGTAAAATAACATGTTGAAATTTCAGGACAGAACCAATTAATGAATGAATCTTTGATAACATTATTGCAACTGAAGATAACGCAAATTTTTTCCACATCCACACCACGTAGTTTTGACATTCAAAGCATTGGAGTAATTTTGAACATTGTGTACTTGAAAACACTCTTAAATCATTCGATTATAAACATACGCTGGGTTGCTCTTGAATAGCTGGTGCAAGGTTGCATTTTCAAAATTTTTTTTGGTTTGTTTGTTTCTGAATGATTCTGTTACATAATCAATGATTTAAAGAAATGGTTGATTAATTATGCACACACTGCCATGAGGTTAAAAATAAAATTCGTAACACACTTTAGAACGATTCACACACACACACAGCCATGTAAATATCTTGATGTTTGTAGCATGGAAACAAGATTTATTTCCTTAGCACACACAAAAGAAGTAAAAAATGTCTAAATTAGAATTATAATTTAAACTAACAGTAACCCTGTATAATAGAAATTCTCGCTCTCTATTCTAAAAATCGTAATAACTTCTCTGAATTGCATCATTTCTAGATCAGTCCATCTTGCATGTCTTGCGTAACGCTAATGACAGGACTAATTCGGAACCTAAACTCACAGTTTTGAGAACTGAAACTTTTCTAACCTAAACCCAAACCTTTCTCTTAACAAACTGCATACTGGATAAGTGTAGACTTTGCTTCTATATCTCTTGCTGTTGAGACCCTGCTGTGCTGCATTTCTTCCTATTGCAATGGTATTCAAAAATGTAAATGTTCTTGATTAGGCATGATTAGTGCAATTGATCCAGCTCGACTGCCAGGTTTCATATACATCGTGGATAGGCATTTCAGCATCTTACGTCATCAAAATTCTTGCTCTTCATTACGGATTCAGCCCTTTATGTTCTACACCATCAATACTGCAAAATCCTTTTTTATTACATACATATATATATAAATTTTTGTTAAAATTTAAATTTGTTTAAATTTTAATTTATAATAAGAAAAC